AAGGAAAACAGTGAAACAAGCTCCTTGGTCAGTTTACACAATGACTGTTAGACATTGGCATGTTAGCTAGCGCTTGTGTGGCAGTTAGAAAGAGGAATGAATATAAATGTCTCCTACACCCATGCCAGGATACACTCCATGAACCTACCAGGGAGTGACAGAAAGGGGTGATACAGCACAAAACAAAATGAGGAAAGACACAAGATCGCCCCTTATTTCAACAAATCACAATACAATTTCTTGTCTGTGAACATACAATGAGATGAGAAATGGATAGTTCTTTTTCACATATAAATCAAAACACAGACATTGCTGCTTTCATGGAATCCAGCACCCAGGATCAACAAATGCCTTCTTCCTACCGGTGCTCCACTCTATGTTTATCCTGGTCTCAGGCCCAAGCATGGTACAGAATCCTGGGAGCCAGGGATTCTACAGAGGTGGTTGCAAGGAAGAAGAGGCTTCTCTAACTGTCACACTCATTGTACTGTGGATGAAGAGAGAAAGCAGCAAGATTCACTGGCTAACTATAATTTTGGTAATATCAAGAAGGGAGCAAAGAAAATAGCAATGTCCATGCCCCTGAAATCTGATTGTGAAATACCCTGACTTCCAGAACAGTGGCTAAAGAGACAAGTTTACCTCAGGAAAACAGAACACGAGGCAGAGAGAAAAGATCCAGAGCTAGCTATGTCTGTGCAGCAGCAGAAGAGCAACAAATTATGAAAGAGGGAATATGTGTGGCCACCCTGCACATAAGTCTCTCAGCTGTGTATTCTACAAGAAGCATCCAACTTCAAGCATATCAACAAGGAACATAAGACTACGGCTCCTGAAAGTTCATAGGGATATCACACAGGAGTAACGCTTGCAGGGTCTAGATGGTGCAAGAACGAGAGACCGTGTCAAGAAGGGATGGAAATCAGACAAGAGAAGTGTGAGTCCAGCCAGTGCCAGCAAAGAGAAAGGAATAATTATGGGAGATGAAAGCCAAGGAGTAGAGTCTTGGAGACCAAACTCCCAGGTGCTCTCAAGGAACTCGGTGCTGCCCATCAACACAGTCAGCAAGGAGCCCTTGGATCTCTTCCTTGGGTCATGGACACATGCTGAGAGCTCATAACTCTGACCACCTGAAAGGGTTTCTCACCTGAGTTCCCTCAATCTGGGGGCTCTTACTTCTTGAAAAAGACAACTGAAGGTAGCTACAGTGTGTGCTGATGGGGCACATCGTATGAACATTATGCACAGCTTCATCAGTTAGCCTCAGAAAAGCAGTGTCATGACAGCACAGGCTAAAGTCAATGGGAAGTGGGATTTCCATGCCATAATCGCCTCCTTTCACTGCCCCACACCTCAGACTCTATAGCTACTGTTGGTCTCCAGGCATCTTCTCCAGCCAATCCCACGCTTTAGCTTGGAATGGCCACTTCCCATTGGATGCTGCCTGGTAGAATCTTGGTGTTTCTATGGTGATGCCTGTAAACAAATTTAGATCCTAACAGGTCACCTGTGACCAGTGTGACCAGTGACCAGTGAGTGCTGACTCATACTGGACACATTTGCCTCTGAGGTCTGCTGATCAGACAAGGACAGCCAATTTTCTTGATCCATTGTACTGTGGATTGATGATACTCTCCCCCTGACCATGTCAGGTAAGGAATGAAACTTTAAAATATGTCTTTCGATCCATCCTCTTCTTATTTTTAGTATACATTTAAATCCTTCATGAACGGGGATAATATTGATGCTGACATAGATATCCCGAGGTGAATGTAACATTTAGCTTTAGTTGACAGTATGTATGTGACTTTGGACATACAGTTTGCTTTCAACTGTGTTCTGTCCTCCTTAGAGAGATAACAATGTCACTATGCTCTGGTGTCTTCACTGTCGAGACTGTACAGGTCAGTGAACAGGGAATTAAACCAGGCCAGTCTTGATGGTGTTGGCCTCAAGAGATACAAGAACATGGAAAGGTGTGCAGGGATCTGGCACTCCAAATCACAAAACGGACGTTTTCCCTCCACTACTGTTTCTGGCTTTTGTTCCAAATTCAGGGTTGTTTAAAAGTAAGGCTCATACCAGGTAGGGGGCACATACCTAATTTCAGCCTGTAGAATTTGACAGGATGAAGGTCAGTCCACACTGACATGTTCTACACTGGTCTAAATCCACAACCACCAAATGGATATTAAAATATGCACGGGGAATAACTGCCATATTTTGAGTTATTTGGACACCTCTAGATTTACATGAAGGAAAGTGAGAGAGGCTAACTGAGAGAAGGCAATAACTGCCTTCTCAGAAGACAGGTATTGTAGTCAAAGGAATATTGAGGCTCTTCCATGGAAGGGAGACACATGGGAAATCGAAAAAAGCAGAAAACAAAGTATGAAGGGTTAGAAAATAGAGATCAAAAAAGTAACAACTTCAGAGATGACCCTGAGGTACACAAAGGAAGTTGGAGCAGAAAGTTGCAGATAACCCTAGATTTAAATCAAAAGCACAAGTCATTGCCATTTACCAAACTATGTTTAGGCAACCAGACTGTTAAGGTTGTTATGGATATAGATTCCCAGGCACATAAAGGAAATACTATTCTCCTCTGGTTCCTGACCTTACACTCCCTTCAGCCCATCTTTGGCAGCACTCCTCAACTCTCATGTAATAATTCATGTAGGGTATCATCAGCTGGGGTTGGACACTCCCCAGACAGGTGTCCCCTGCACAATGACAAGTGACATGTGACAGTGTGGTGCAATTCCCACCAATACCCCTCACCGAAAAAAGTCTTCAGAAATTATCAGTTCCCCAGGAACTGTTTTAAGAGCCAAATGAACAGACAGTAAAACTGAGAAAACCTTATTCAGAGATGAAACCCCTCACTTCATTAGCAATCTGAAGAGGTCACTCGAAATAATTCCAAACAACAACAAACAACTTCAGTAGGTTGTATTCATGAAGTCTTATATGCATATTTGATTAATGACTGTAAAACTACTAAGAGGTCACAGATGATACAAAGTTTGGGAGGAGAACAGGAGTTGCTAGAGGAGGAATGGAATACTTCAAGACTACAGCACTTGTCTATGAAGTTCTAGATGCATCATATCATGAAGGAACCTCAGTGTAGAGACAAGCAAGGTAGGCATGGGAAGTACATATGACACCAGCACTCTGGAGGCAGAGGCAGGCTGCTCTGTGGAACTCAGGGCCAGACTGTTCTCTAGCTCACTAAGTAGAATAAGATATGCTCAGAACAGGGATAAGGCAGACAAGGTATGAGAAGTAGCCTAAGGGTCTCCTATCTGGAAACACTCATATAATGAGTGTCATCCTATCCTGTACCAAGATTCACTCTGAATCCATTTGTTTGGGATATGTGAGGGAGCATGGGTGAAAGACTCCCCCAGACAGGACAAGCTGGCCACAACACAGCTCTTCACAGGAAGCTACAAAGTTTCCATCTCACCATTTTCCCACTGTCTCTTGCTTCCTACAGATAATTTCCAATGTGCACCTTTCTTTGGGACAGAATGTGCTCTGAGACCCTCTGTGCCTGTGCTGAGGAATTCCACCGCCTCAGCAGGAAGTGTGTGCAACTTCTCCAGGGTCTCCGCCCCAGCTGTGAGATCTGCGTGGCTCCTGCCATCAGACCCCAGCACTTGTTGCCAGCAGCTCATGGACAGTGCCTCCCTTTCCCAACGAGCTGGCACGACCATGCTGACTGCACTGACTGACCAGAACCAGATCTCTACACCGGCAAACTCCTATCCAGGTGCTCTCCTGTGGCATCTCACAGGAAGCACTGACAGGAAGGACTTCACTGGAACTATCATTGACCAGAGCACCACACTCTCCTCCTGGTCCATGAGAGCCCAGTGTGATAATATTTTAGATCTCAATGCTTTAGTCTCTTCCAGCCCAACAGTTCTCCAGGCAACACTGCCAAATGTACAGAATCAAGGGTACAGCCTGATACCTTCCCACCTGGCAGGCAGCCAGGTTGCCTACTATGACCCCAACAGACTGGGACCCCTGATACCTGGGGAAATCAGGTGGTGCCTGCAGGACAATGATGCTGTGTCCCACTCTGCAACTCAGCCCTCTGCCCTGCAACCAGAGACAGTGATGGTTTCCAAGGAGATTCAGCCAAGGAATGCCCCATCACCTTTCTCTACCTCTGCCATCTCTAATCCCAAGTCTGCTCGAGCCATGCCAGACACAAGACTTCAAGGTTTGTACAGCCAGGAGGGCAAGGAGTATGATCTTTCAGTAGGTAATGCCCACACAGGGGAAGAATATGCATTCCGAGAGGGTAGCTTTGCCTCTGGCTCACCATCCCCATCTTCAGTCTCAATAATGAGAGATGGTCACCCTGCAGTCCAAAGATTCTACCCCCTTAAACTCATTTTCTTGTCACTTATAAGAAGTCTCTGAAATGTGGGGCTGGAGGATTTTTAGGGTTCTAGAATTGTCAGGAGGGAGGAATTGGGTGTGATACTTGACCTCCTATAAAAACTGAGCTTTCTGGGGACGTAGGAGTAATGACAGAAACTGAAACAAGATAAAGGAAAGACACATGTAATTTTGGACTTTAGACCCCAAGACCCGTCTAAGAGCAAACTTCCAAGAAAAGGAGTAACACTGTTCCAAAGACCAAGGCGGGGGGGGGTGGGGGGCAAGTGAAGACCACAGACAGGCCAAGGGACCTACCTCTGTAACCTCACAGTGGTCACTATGCATGCACACACCACACAAACACAAAGAAACACACAAACGTCTAAGAAGACATGACATCGCATGGTCACCAGGAACAACTGAACAGTACTATGTGTCTCCACACAGAGGTGATGCACTTCTCACTCAGGCAGAGCTAACAGGAAGCCCCGCCCCAGTGCTGTAAGGACCTCAGTGCTGAGGTGCACTGCAAGGAGGGGAGCAGCTCACTCAATTCACTCACCAGGCGCTGACTTCTTCCTTCACTCTTTTTCAGTGGTGGACATGGAGACGGCTCTGGGATTGACACTTACAGACCAGACACTCTATCTGCTGCAGAGTCCAGACCTCTGCAATGCCCACATGCAGAATGTCCAGGTAATGACACCACGTGTCTTTGGGGATAGCTCATTAACTGCCCCCATCCAAAGTGCTTCGGGATTCCTGACATGGCCTCCAGCTCCAAGCCTGGAACAAACAGAGAATAACAATATGGATGAGATGACTGCTGACCCACCCATGCCTAGGAAGACCTATGAGTGCATTAAAGAAATCCAAGATGCACCACTCCTCCCTCTAGCACAGCCCGGCATGCAGCAGCCCCTGAACTACTCTGATGATGGAAGCCTGAGGGAGAAGCTAGCTGCTGATACTTCCACCTTGAGAAGCACTAGCCTTGGTCTGGGAGAGAGAGGGAATCTGCGGAGTGTCATGATGCCCAGCATTGATTTTGAAGACATGACCACACTCGTGTCAGACATTCACCTCCCCCAACTCTTGAACTCCGTCACTGACCTAGTCCAATTGGAAGATCCCTCAGCAACACGATCGAAAGACTTCAGAGTCTTCAGGAGGGATGACGCTCAGGAAAGCTCCAGCAGGGGAATCTTCACATACAAAGAGGTGAACAAGAAAGACCAGAAAGCCTCTGATGTGCTTCATGGAGCTCCTCAGCCCAGAATCCAGTGCCACATCCTGTTGGAGGGAGAAGAGGCTGTAGGCATTTCTACAGCCAGTGAAGGGACTTTTGACAACACAGATCAGAAATCTTCACACAGCAGACCCAGAATATCTAGGGCACAGAGCCAAGACAAGACCAAGAAGACCAGAGACAACCAAACCAAGAAAACTGGAGATCTGAAGCCATCTTGTCCCAGAGTCAAGGTAGAAGACAAGCTCAGCGTCCCCAAGACCAAGAGGAAGAGGAGTCCACCTGAGCTCAGGCAGGACAGCTTTAAAAAGCCTCGAACCCACCTCGGCATGCACATGCTGGAGGCCGTGCAGGTCTTTCACCCACTGGGAAAGAAGAGTGACAAGAAAACGGGCATCTCCTGCTTTCAGTCTCTGCCAAACTTCGGCAGCAACCAAGATGCCAGGACAGGCCCGGCTACCACATCACCGCTAGATGTGCCATGTGATGGCCCAAGGCCTGCTAACACCCCAGGAAATGCTCAGAGACCAGAGAGCAGTGCTCCCAAGGAGTGTCCACCTCCCTCCCTGTGTAAGCTGCCCCCACCTGGAAAGGTCAAGTTAGTACCTCTCCCCTTCCCAGAACTGGGCAAGCCTCAAGCCAGACCTTTTTCCAGAAAGCTTCTCTCCCTGACTTCAGGCAAGCCCACTGCAGCTTACGCTGTGAGGCCGCATTCCCACTCGGCTCCGTCTACCACACTCAATTCATCCCAAGCAGCTCCTGCCAGCAAATCCTTGACGGCCTCTGAGAAGACAGCAGTGCCGACCGCCACCAGTGCCACAAAGCATAACATACCCAACAGCTTCTATTCTTGCACAAGGCCTCGGCCAGCTGTCCCTGGGCCTGACCCCTACAGAGCATCAGCTCATCCTTCGCTCCAGGGGGAGCTTGTCTCTGCTGCCAGGAACAAGGCCCCATCACCTCCCAAACCTCAAACCCAATATCTGCTGCAAGACTTCAGCCGCCAACCACTTCCATGGAGGAAAGTCGACATTCCAGGTCCAGGCATCTCACAGCCCATCACAGCAGAGCAGAGGCCAGAAAGGGAGGCCATGAAGACCTGGGCCCAATGGGAGCGACAGAATGCTGCCAAGTGCTCCTCTCAGGACAAACTGCACGTTTTCCTTCATAGGGAAAAGGATATGGAAATTGCTCAATATTATGGCTATGCAATGTAAGTGCTGGCCAAGCCTTCCAATGCAGCGCTGGACATCATACACAAGCTGGGTAATACATGCAGACACATGGCTATGTCTGATGTTTAAATGTCTTGTGAATAGATACACATGTAAGTATATATGTAGGTAAGTAGATTAATGTGTACACGTCTGGGTTTATATATAAATGCACAGATAGTTTCTCTGCTTGTAAATACTTGAAGACACTAAAATTGACTATGGAAACTAAAGTCAGTTATTTCATCCATTGACATATAGAGAGGGTTTGAGGTTTTCCTCATAACTTGGCTATCATTAATCTATATTGCCAATAGATGTTACATAAATACATCCTGTGTGTTACATCACTGCAAGTTATTACTTAGTGTCAAAGCAATTAGCCAAAACAGTGGTGATGATAAAATTATTCTCCTTGATTTCATTTTCATTGCACTAGTTACTAAACATGGTATATTCCCCAGAGTTGATGCTCTATAGTG